CAAAACAATTCAACTTACTGTTACCATCAGTGGAGACGTCACGGAGTGGGAATGTGTCTCTCATGACTGTAAAGTTGCGGGCAATTGGAATTTGACGGGTGATCAATATATCGAGAAAGTGCTGGATACCGTTTTGGGCCCGTTTTGCATAATCACCCTCTTGCTACAAGACCTGTATTCAGAAGACCGATACAAACCCGTGTACCACCTGTTCAAACTCTGCCTGTGTTGGAAGCAGCTTTGCATCAAGAATGGAGACAGTTTCCTCTGCAGCTGATTGGAATACTCTGGAGGGGGTATAGTACAGACAAGTATCCAAGAACGTGGAGGGTACACTAAATATTGATTCTACACGTGCCCACGTTACAAATAAACATTTTGTGTCTCATCACATATACGCCAAGTTACCTGATCCTCTCTCTAGATCCATACATCATTCTGAGCCAAACAGATGATTGTCATATCCATTAGTAACATGTTGAAGGAAACTGGCTTTTTGTGTTTTCTTGCAGTCGCGATCTTACAGAAAACCATGCAGATCTACCAACGTACTGTGCGCGCACACCACGGGTGTTAGCCGATGTTAATTCGTAAAGATTAGCGGGAATGCTTAACTTTCTGAGAGTTGTATATAACAGCATTAGCGTTTGGAGTTTCGAAAGCTTCTGGTCATGTTTCGTGACACCTTATAATTACGAGATGACAGCTTTCGTTTCTTTAAACAATGAGTATTTATTTCCTCAAACTTTCATCTGAAAGCATATCATTGAAACAAAAGTGTTCATTGTATATCTGGCTTTCAGCTTCCCACACATGTTACACATGATTACCGCCTCGTAAAAAAGACAAGTATTTCTCTGGACTTCAACAACTAGTTTCTAACTATATCGAATAATGAGGACTATAGGTGATAATACAATGATAACCCTGGTTATGAGTGCATGATCATATCCCTCATGCAGTCTGTCACTGATTTGTCTGATCCAGATTCAGTTGTTCACATGTCATTGTGATACAGTGTAGCGTGACACAGCAGTCACAATATTACTCTTTACCATAGGAAGAACACTTCCTGTTTCCCATGTGAGCTATTTCTGGATGATGGAGTGGGTTTTGGTTAACGGAATTTTAAACACTAGTTCAGTTATATCTTATGTGAAAGGGTACATAAATATTTCATTTTAGCACTAATTAAGTTTTAAAATGTTGTATTACAATGTGTATACTGTATATCAAATTTGCATGGCTGAATTGCAAGCTTGAGGAATACGTATTTACATAGAAATCTATCTTTGTTTGACACACCTCCAACATCTGTAGCTCCATGGGCAAGTACCAATACATTTTGAACTATATGTTAGTATGCATAAATGTAATGTCATGGACAACACTCCGTTGAACCGGAAGCCGACAGGGGTAATGGATGCGAAAAACGATTTTACATGCCGCGAGTGTAGCTTAAAATGTTGAATTGAATATATTGTACGTGAGTAATTACTAATTATGAGGTTGGAAATCTGAGAGCACAATCCTGTTAGGAAATTGGTGTGTACCTTTGTTGGTGTCGATATTTCATTTGATATTAAAAATATTTTTCGAACCGAAGCGAGGAAAGCATCCTTTGCTGGTGACTTTTCTCTCTGTTGCGCAGCCCTATTTGTGCTACAGTTTGCCTGTGCATGTAGTATTTGGGCAACAACGTGTCCTGCAACATACAAATGTCAAACACACGTTCAGGACGTTCCAAGTGCCGCATACACAATACTTTTTTTTTTTTCTTACTGAATACATGCGTTTCATAAAGTGTCTTGTAGTGTTGAGTCTGCTAACAGCCCACAGTGTAAGTAAACTTAGGCTCAGTATTATTCGCTACAGTGCTATACTGAGTCCAACAAAACCCTGTACAAGATCTCGTCAGCTAACCGTTGAGTGACCTATGACCGTCCAATCAAACGCGAGACGGCCGAACTGTTTTAACCAATCAGACAACGACTATTTGTTAGGTTTCGGCGGGACCTACAAAACGGGTTTGGGATTTTCTCTTCCCTGGTTGCTGACGCTGATCTATCAACAACGAAAATCCGCATAAAACACAGATATTTGACCTGCAGTATACATGCTTATGGGTTTCTAATGACATGGTTACTATTTGCATATATTTTCGCAAGATGACATCCTTGAATATTGACAAAAACGCTATTTTCAGCGACTGTTTACTCATTGCGGTCACTCGGAAGCGATCGTGCGGAAAATAGCATTCGGAATTGTTCGAGTTTTTTAGGTAAAGGTTCAAACGGTATGTGCGAATGTTAACTTTCGTGATTTGGTAAGCTGTGTTCTGATTGGTCAGTCCTAAAGGTTAGCTGACGCGACCTTCTCCCAGGTTTGGTTAGACTCAGTATAGCAGTGTAACGAATAATACTGAGCCTATGTTTACTTAGACTGCTAACAGCCCAGTGCGTGACTCTCACAACGTTGTATTGGGAGAGAGTGTTCTTCTCTCAAACATCACTCACTTTCACTACCAGACATTGACGTATGTTTTTGACTTACACCTAAAAAAACCCCATAATATCCCCTACATAGCATATCTCAATCATGAAGTGAAGCCAGACTTCCGTATCCATGACCCTGGAGGAGCGGTGAATACAGCTGAAACATTCAATATTGCATAAATTATACAAATTGATGTGAGCAGGTTGACTAACGTCGTATTTTCAATGTATTTTCGCAACACGGCAAATTCGAAAAAAATGAACCCCGTTATATTCACTGTGTGTCACTGGAGTTAAAAGGCAGTTACGACCACGTGAGCCAGATAACCAGATAAACTACACTGTCTTGCGAATGGCATAGGTGAGGCCCATGACAACCCATGGTATCAATTTCTGGTTCGTCTCATCCTTCAGAGTGTGTTTCCTTTTCTTCTCTCCAGTCTTCAATAAAGATAACGGTGCAAGTGGACAATGATGATATCTCCAATGATGACCACATCAACACACTTTTTATGCTGATAACCATCCATCGCTGCTACAGAACCGACAGCTGACTACACCAACATTATGCTAATTGGACTGATAGAGAATCAGATCAAAGGTGAATTACCTATATCTACGTTCAATCCACCCTTGTATCTGTGACAAACACTAGGATGCTGCGCCGGTACAACAATACAATGCACATGCTGAAATTATATAATTTATACCACAATGTTCTCTCCACAATCGATTGCGATAAAAGTAAAACTATTTCGTGTTTGTGATGCTGCTTCCATCAAAACCAAAATGAAGTTAGACATATATAGAATTCCATAGCAATTGTTGATGCCATTTCTGCTGTTTGCTATGTTTTCTTTGTTGTATTGACCATTTGGTCATTATGAATTATCGAACACATTTCAACGCTAAACTTGAACTTTGACGTCATTTTTAATATCTCACTCCCGAGTGAGATTGATAACAGAAATGGAGGAAACCTGACCGATGGCTTGAACAGACTGATCACCAATCTCGGGGGAATTCCACGAAATGTGGATGTCAACTTTACACAACAAACACATGGAATGAAGGCCTGTCAACACTCGTTCAAATATATACAGAATAATGTCTTTTAGCGGCATTTAGAAGCAGTTATAGATGACCACGATAGTTTATGAATTTGAGCTTCTTTGTGTGGGAAAGAATGAAGAAGCTTAAATCCATAAAATATCGTGGTCATATAGAGAATAGTTATCAACATGTCAGTATGTGACCTGGTTGAATGCATGTCATAGTTTTGCGGTTACTTTGGTCAATATGGAGTACAGCTCGGTCGGCCATTGTGCCACCTTCCTATATGTTTCTGGATCCAGTACCAAGCAAGAAATCTGTACCACATTAACGTCTATATAGCACTCAGAAGGGCGTGTCCAAACTCGTTGTGGTGGTGGGGTAGCCAAGTGCTTAAAGTATTCGCTCGTTGCGCCTAAGTCCCGGGCTTGATTCTCCATATGGGTACAATGTGTGAAGCCCATTTCTGGTGTCCCCCGCCGTGCTGGAATATTTGCTAAAAGCGGCGTAAAACCCAACTCACTCACTCACCAAATTCGGTTACTGTCGAAAGAAAGAGACTCGTTTCCTCAGAAAATATGACATTTGTCCAACGTCGGTGATCACCACGCACGCCTCTGATTCAAATTACGTGCTGTAAGTTGGGGTACGTGGGCATCATGCGCGCTAAGGCCATCTTTGGAGACGATTTCGAACCATCCGGGCATGTACTCTTACACCATTTGCCTGTTGCAACCGGTCCCTAATATGAGCGGCAGTTTGCAACCGATTTCTTATTGCCATCTTTCTGCCTAATGTGTGCTCGGCTGGAACTGTTCGTTGCTCTTGGGCGTTCAGATCGGAGTTAGTGACGTCATTATGATCATGCTCTGTTGGTGTCGTATCCAGACTCTGCTGATGACAGATTGAGAAACATGCGGTATTTGGGCAACAAAGTGTCCATACCTACAACATACCAATGGCAAGCACACGTTCAGCACGTTCCAAATGCCGCACACAATACTGTTACTTTCTCACTGATTACACGCGTTTCATAAACAACCCAGTGCGTTCGGGTGCAGACCGAGGTTACGTGACTATTGGGAGAGAATGTTCTTCCCTCAAATATCACTCACTTTCACTACCAAACATTGACGTATGTTCTTGAACTTACACCTCAAAAGCGTATAACCCCTACTTTTTCTCATCTCACTCATGAATACACACACAAAAATATTTTACTTCCGTATCCATGACCCTGGTGGAGCGATGAATACAGCTCCAACAATCAACGTTGTATAACTTATACAAATATTTGTAAAACAGCATTGACTAACGTCGCATTTCTGCGTATTTCCGCAATACAGCAAATTAGAAACAAAAATTGAAACCCGTTAAATTCACTGTGTGTCACTGGAGTTAAAAGGCAGTTACGACCACTGGATGAACCTGTGGGTTGTATAACGTGTTCGATATGCGATCTGTATCCAGTACCATCGGTACACGTGTAAGGGATACCACCATTTAAGATGAAGACAAGAGGAATACACGTGGCTTTACTTCTCTGGTTGTTGATTATTGAGGTAGGTATATGTTTTATCTCCCGAAGTCGTCAAGTTAACATGAGAGCATATATGCTAGTCAGAGGACACAATTACATTCTCCATATATCGTACAGGGATTTTTACTTCTTAAGAGAAATAAACTTATATGCATAGTCTTTACAATAGTCTGCATGAGCTTTTGTTGATCCAATCTCTAATCTCTTACTCGTTAGAGTACATTCTCCATATATCGTACTAGGATGTTTTACTTCTCAGGATTCCCTCGAACATCCGGGTTAGAATTGGTCTTCAGTAACCCATGCTCGTCGTAAGAGGCGACTAACGGGATCGGGTGGTCAGCCTCGCTGACTTGGTTGACACATGTCATCGGTTCCCATTTGCGTAGATCATGCTGTTGATCACTGGATTGTCTGGTCCAGACTCGATTATTTACAGACTGCCGCCATATAGCTGGAATATTGCTGAGTGCTTTGTAACACTAAACTAAATCATTCACTACTTCTCAAGATATATCTACTTATATGCGTAGTCCTTACAATAGTGTGCATGAGTTCATATTTTTCCTTTTGTTTATCCAATCTCTCGATCGACTATATACTAAAGCACTGGAGGTAACTCCGGCGTCAATGTAATGTACACATTATTTACATAAGTAGAGCTTCCTTAGTTTTTAAGCTTTGCAATGAAGACAAATAAACGCATGTCAGTCTATATTATCTATATCAGACATGTTCAGTTATGTGCCTAAGTTTAAAGTGTACTAGTAGTCAATATACTGAGTATACTGATACTCGTAGTGAATAATCACTCAAGGCGTTATCAACAATTTGTATTCTATACCTTAACACATCGGGGAAAGTAGAATACTCAATGCCATTCTCAGTGGATGTATGGCAACGGCTGGTGGGAAATATGGTGGGCAGGGTTATACCCTTAGCGGTTTAATAATTAGCACATATCTTGATGTGCGAGGAATGCTTGAATTGATACAGATGTTGTGTGAACTCATTGGCCGTATCTTCATCTGTATTTAAACAACAACCACAAGATACTTCACAAGATACTGCCCCTTTCACAGAAGGCGTACCAGAGACGCGCTCTACAAATTTATTATGCACATGTAGAAAGTGAATAAAACTGACAGGAAATGCAAACACAAGAAGCGGTCTCAGAAACCGGATTATATATCATGTATGACCTAGATCGACGTTCGTTCACCATTGTTGCGCGGGACAGCCTCTATATTTCTTTATAGAATGAGCATACCCTTGACAGAAATACATCCCTACCAAAACAAGAAAAGGTGTTCACTGTATTTCCGGCTTCTGATCTTTTAACCCATGTCACGCACAGTTTATTTAAGTAGGTTTCCGCATGTCCAGTGGACTAATCGAAACGAATTTCTAATGCCATCGAATAATGAGGACTGGGGAATTACACATTGATAAACCTGGTTACTGCTATGTGATCGTACCCTTCATGCTGATACTGGTCTGTCAGGTCCAGACGTTATGTACAGGTGTTTGAGATACAGACATATAACTGCTGCCTGTAACGATGCATTTCATTTCTAATGTAAGGAACTCTAAACGTTCTATGTATAACCTATTCGGGCAAGTGGGTTTGATTTGAACAGTATTTCAGTTAGATTACGCATCTTAATGTGATGTGAACATCCGGAGCTGATGTCCAGACGATTATCACGATAATACATGTTAGCACCATGCCCCTTAAATTGTTTTCTTTTTTTAAAGTGGTAATCGTCACGTCATCAGTTTATCATACATACTCTCCCAAACAAGAAACGCATAGATGTATTTTCACGAATGTAATCTGCTAACTTTAACGTGAGATAACACGTGTAAATCTAGATTTGTTGCAGGCAAATTACACAGTTGAAAGATCAACACTGTCTGTTAATGTGTTTAGCTGATAAATAGTTCAATAAGTGAAGGCGTCCCTTCCCAGTAGGGCATTGTCTACAAAATCTGTTGTGGACACCATAAGCCCCCAAAACTGCTATGCATCGTCTCGGCATGGACTCAATACGTCTTGAATTCGATCATGTCGAATTCTGGCCCAATCCCCGTGCAATGCCTGAGAGAGCTGATCTAACGTCTCGGACGCCGGTGACGTTACCGTATGCGTCCTACGAGGTCATCCCACAAATGTTCGATAGGGTTAGGTGGGACGATTTAAAGGCCATCGAAGCAATGTGATGTTCTCATTCTGAAGCCACTGAATAGTGGCATGTGATGTGTGAGGCGTGGCGTTATCTCGTTGAAACAATTCCCTCTGGCGGTCAATGATTAAAACTATGTGGTTTTCTTAAGATTTCGTCCCTGTACAGAATAGCAGTTACATTGCCGTGAAGGCGAACAAAATTAGATTTCTGCGTGTAGGATATTTCTACTCGAATCATGACACTCCCACCGCCATATCGGTCCACCTGGGCGACACAATGCTAGGCAAAATGTTCATTTGGATGTCGATAGACACATATTATTCCATCACGGCACTGAAGCAGAAATTGAACCATACACGTCGCCAGGTTTGTAGATTCTAGAATCGGACTATATTGCACCACTGGACCCGTCAACGTCGATGTAATTGTCGCAGCACTGGGTCTTCTAGCTTCCAGTACAGCTTCGATTACGAACGGCTTGCGCCGACACCCTACCTGCAGAAACAGTTGCTGTGGCGATTCTGCAAAAGAAGTACCCGGATGTACCTTCAACGGCAGATTGAGATTCCCCAGCCTCCAGACGTCCAATGGCATTGTTTTCATTTATAGTAGTGAGTTGAAGCATAGCGGTATTCTTTCATTTACTTAAAAAATGCCAATAACCATATAAAAGCAAACGGTTTTATATAGACAACATACCCACTCACGATTCCACACACCAGCACGTGCATATTACAAGAACAACACGTGCATATTACGAAACACTTTTTCTCCATGACACTTTCGAACGTATACGTGTATCAAAATGCCCAAAGATGATTTTTGCCCTGTGTATTCTATTCATATAGACAAACTAACATTATAAAGTATAACAATCAAACACCATTTTTGAGAAATATTTGAAATTTCATGTATCAATATCACCTGTGCGTTACTTGTTTTTTTGAGAGTATATATTTACCCATGCCGCCTATTGACCAGGCATGTTTACATATTGTTACGGTTAACAATTTGCCGTGACAAAAGGTTTAAAAGTCCCCTCTGAACCAGCAAAATAGAACACAGACAAGTCTAAAATATTCAATAAAATATTGAACAAACAATGAGCAAACTACAGTGAATGGCAATACAGATTTCTAGTACAATGCAATTGAGTCACAAACCTAAAGTAATGGTTTCTAAATGGGTAACATATTAACTCATCATAGTCTTGACATTTACAGTGTGAGCAGATATACTGATTGAAGGTTGTTTCCAATGACATATGTTGAATATAGACGAGCACAGTCAGTCTTCAATGTTGAACAAATTCGACGATGGCAGACAGATGTATATAACTCCAGTCATGTGAAAAGTCCGTGTGTGATTCCGCAGCACAACTCAACAATAAGCCTTTATATAATAGCTCTTACACAGTTCTCGAGCATTCTAGCAATGCTAGACTGTATCATTATCCACTCAGAACTTTATAGAAATCCGTCGAAATTGGTGGAAAACTGCATGGCATGATTAAAGCCGTAAATAAACAGGATTGCCAAGGGAAGCAACTCTGAAGCGCCATAAAAAAGGCTTGCCGCTAAAAATACTATTGTCATTCAACATGTATGATGCGAGACGTGATCCACAACCCACACTCAAAACTTTAAACATTGTGGCCCATAATAACTATCACTTAATCAATGATATTACAAATTACAACCAAAAACACAAAAAAACACAAAAAAACACACAGTCTCATAACAAGATATATATGCCATTAAATCATAAAGTGAAGCATTGATAACGTAGTTTTTTAAATATACGTGTCGTGATCAAAGGCACACAATGTGATATGTTTAAGGATTATCGAGTAGACATCATCAAGGATAAACACACGATTTCCTGTTTACTTTGATTGAACAGACAAACCGTTTATTTGGTGGTCGTGGGCCTTTAGCCCCATTGCCAGAATACTGACAAAGTGATGCGCAGAGAACAATACATCAGTGTGAGAGCAATGGAAATATATTTTACTTTACAATAAAACTGAAAAACATATTTGTTGAACATATGCCAAACATAACATGGTATGGTACTACAATGCATACCTAAAAAGTGAAACCAATAACACCCTTTTTATTTAATTCCTTCAATTTTATTTTCTCACTGTTAAAGATCTTGAACTCTGGAAGATTACAAACATTACTTCAAACCTTTTCATCATCTATTAGACATTTTCCCTTTCTTACATTTTGAACTCCAAAGTAATTACTTATACTACCTTTGTACCTAAGATTGCAGAATAAATATATAACCACATGTGCACACTTGATGCCACATTGATATTCTGAATAACTTCATCAGTTTCCACAAAATGTTCTAATCTTGCAGGAAGACTGCAAACACAAACATTTCTCAAAGTATTCAAAAGAGAAATACGTTTATAATTATTGAGGTTCGACACTGTTTATTGTATATTTAAGAAACTCATTTGGTATACTGTGGATTCCTGTTGAGTTATAAGGCTTCAAAAGACTAAATTGTTCTTCAATTCTTGACTAAATCTGCATTCACATCAACATTTTCATTCAACAGATTACAAAATGGTTCACCCACACTGGGCCTAATGGCCTAATGATATGCTTGTTTTGATGAGAAATTTTGGAAAATATGCAGAATCTCTTTGTGTCCTTGGTCCTTGCAACTTATGCGATGTTATCACTGGCACAACGATTGTTTGATTTTACATATTTGTTTAAGTTAGTCTTTGCCATTTTGTATTATGTTGATTCTCTTCTGTAGATGTTCTTCCGAAGCAGTTCAAAGTCCTTGTCAAGTTAAGAGCTGCAGAAGCTCAATATTGATACTTGTTCACTCACTGGACACAATCATTTGAAATGCATAATTCTTCAGATACAACATACACAGAAAGAAAGAGTCTTCATACCAATGTTATTGCTACATAGTCCCATACTCTGCATGTATAATTTATACCATTACCATGTTTCCGGACCCGTGAAGATCCGGGTCAGAATTGGTCTTTAGCAACCAATACTTGTCGCAAGAGACGTCTAACAGGATCGGGTGGTTAGACTCACTGACGTGGTTGACACATCTCATCGTATCCCAATTGCTCATGCTGTTGATTACTGGATTTTCTGGTCCAGACTCGATTATTTACAGACCGCCGCCGTGTAGCTGGAATATTGCTGAATTAGGGGATAACTGTACTGTGTTTGACGAATTAAGGACGGTATACGTCCCCAATTCGTCAAACACAGTACAATTATCCCCATTCTAATTCAACTCTTTTTATGCTGTATTTTCGTGAAACAAATTCATTATTTAAACCAGGTCAAAGATCCTCTAGGTTAAAGGTTAATCATATCACTCCTTGACCTTACACCATCGCCAGAAAAAGAAGTTCCCTTTTTAAACTTCAATATTTGTTATGTGTACACTGACTAAATCTGACAATGATGAATAAATTATAGTGATATAGCTAAAATGGATGGAATTATCATGAAAAAGGCCCCTAGTTATCAGACATGAGCGGGCCGCTGATAATTATAATGGCCCTCTGATTCCTCAACGACGGATCATTAACAGTTTTGTTCTGTCACAGAGAGTGACGTCACTCTCCATCATGACGTCATAAATCTTGTTTCATGATCTAGCAGTGTTGGGTCAACAGTGCTTGATTGAAGTAAACTTACAATTAAATTATGATACTGTTTTTGACTTTTAAGCACAAATTCCATCCATTTTGCTATAATAGGGGAGTTAATTGAAGACCTAGGACTTCAGGAAATGATAGTGTCCTGAAAGCAACGTTACCCCTTTAGTGTAGGGATACATTCAAACGTTTTGGAGAATCGGTTTTCATATTGCGACCGTATATGCTGAATATACGGTCGGAAATATATAGCATTGACCAATCAGAACTCGTGTTACATAAGAAGTTGAATTAGAATGTGGCGTTAAACAACAACCAACCAACCATAATTCCGAATATATCTTTTTGATTTACAGCATGTGAAGACTGGCGGTAAACTGGACATTCGATTCATCAGATACTCATCAGGTGGCAGGAAAATCAACGGGGAGTGTTGTGACGATGACATCCTCCCTTGGTGCCCTGATCAATGTGATCCAAAGTTTTATCTGTACATCTACGGGTAAATACATTAGAAACAGTTATTTATAAACGCACGAGTCAATCATATTCGGTTGGGGACAGTTTCCTATCTCGGTATTATGTTCCTAGCTCTTCTGTGAAAATGATTTGTGTATTATCTTGGCTTGTGCTGTTGGTTATCAAAGGGTATTATTGAAACAAGCTTAAGTATGTAAGAATTGCTGCTTGTCAAATCGCCTGGAATATGCATCTGTATCTGTATCTGAATTTGAAACCATTATTGCACGATTTGTTGTGTACATTGAATTTTAAGCGTTTTATCATCTGAAAGAATGTCTGCCTTCAATGTCTACTAGGTCTTCAAGTCATTCTTGCTACATTTGCAGATGAATAAAGTTTATGTTATCAATGTTGCGCTTTGCTACCTGTAGACTTGACGGTGTCATACAATGTTATTGCAGCCCTGGGGGAGGAAACTCCTGGTCTCTTTATCAGAGCACCACAGACTACATACACAACCATAATATAATCAACTTTGGAAGCAGCATTCAAGGACAAGCAAATCCTCTCATCATACCAGTGCCCAAAGCAGTCCCGGTATGATTGTTGTTACCTAAATATATGATGCCCACAAGGAACCAGTTACATAGAACCTGAAATGCTCTGTGATTGTTGATCAGGAAACTAACAGGAAGGGTTGATAGATAAGGCTCAGTGTAGGCAGCGAGTCATTCTATCCTGGTGGCGACTCTTCGTCTAGTCCAGCCCCTGTTATTTACAAGTAAATTAAAACTAACTGTGGTAACTTCGGAGTTAACCAACAGATGCCAAGTAAATCGATATATGTGTCTTGTTATTGATTTGGGTACATTTATTGTTTTGCTGGAATTTTGCTTGCTGTGGTGTTAAATAACAAACTAAACTTGGAGTAACATGTTTTCTTTTTCTTTTTCTACAGTTTTCAATAGCTATACGAGTGCAGGTGTATGACTACGATGGCACCTCTAGAGATGACCACATGGACACACTCACTAAGCTGATCAACATCCATGCTGCTCCTACAGAACAGACAGCTGTGTACACCCCATACATATTGAGGGAAAGGACAGAGTGAGTCATAAATACTTTAAAATGATGAGTTTTGATTGATCTAAACCTTAGAGATCTTTCAATAGCATACGACGTTTACACGTAATACTTAAGAATGTGCTTATGGTGCGCAAAATGTATGGAGTAAACTATTTTTCAGGTTAGAGATAAATGTCCGTGCATACTGCGACACGGATTGGTACGGGTCTGCGTGTGCGAAATATTGCAAGGCTACTACTAATCACAGTCACTACATGTGCCACCTACAAACAGGTGCAAAAATGTGCTTTGAAGGTATGGTCAGACACTGATTTCAACGTTGATGTGAACAATTGTATATACCAAAGATATATACATTGTGTATTGAGAAAGGCCAACAAGATTAAAATCATAACATAATATCAGTTGTATATTATGTTAACTCAGAATTGGAAATGTTAAATCTTCTGGTTGATCTTGTATCTACCATTGTATATTGACTATATTGTCATTTGTGTCTCGCATGGTAGTTCGACCAGAGAGTAACAGAAATCTTGTTTTGTCCGTTTTGTTCGTTTTGTTCACTGCACTTATCGGGACAGTGCTGTTGCAGGTAATAGAATTACTTTGAATCATCGTGTAGGAAGATATCTGTTTCCGTATTCAGACGTTCAAAACTATCGGAATCATTTTGCCATTTTCTGCGCAAATAAACTCTTTCTGATACTAAAATATTGCAGGTTGGAAGGGGAGACAACTGCGATCAGGACATCGACGAATGCAACGAAATTGACAACACATGTCAAAATGGGGGAAGTTGTAGAAATACACTCGGCAGTTTTGAGTGCATTTGTATCGAGGGAATAAAAGGTTAGTATTCTATACCTGCAATCTAACATGAATAGAATCACAAAAAGAACAGGACCCGTGGAATATATTCTACAATTCTTCGACTACTACCATGGAAATTAATACACTTTCCCTGTTACAGCTGTCATACACTGTTTTTTCAATGGTATAAACTTTCTGTTTGTGGTCATATATAGAGTGGAGGAAACAAAGGCATAAACAAACATATCCCCAACTCCATTCCCCAACGTTACTTGATGTCTATAGCCAAGAGTTAATTTATACTAGATGATATAGTGATAAATTATTTGTTTTAATCTTGAAAAGCTTCCTGTCCTTTGTCGACAGTCACTGGACTTTAATTAACTTGTTCTCATTGCGATGTAAACTTTTAACTCTCCCCTTAACCACCCGACCCACCTTGTTTCAAGTATAGCAATGCACCTATAGGGTTGAATTATTAAAGATTGTTTACGTAACGTAACACAACATATGGATATATTTGGCTCATACATAGAGAATACTACACTCATTACATACGAATTATACGAAACGAGTGTCCTTCCTATGGTATCTGACCGGGCGAAGGAAGGTCACGAGTCTCGTATAATTCGTATGTACTGAGACTAAGTGTAGTATTTTATTTATTAACCACGTCTTACCTCCATAAAATCGACAAAATAGCGTATTTTTGTTGTTTTTTATGCTTTCAAACCGAAACTGGTTTCATAAAGAGATTGCGAAAGAATTTTTTGCATGACATCACACTGTATTGACGTCACTACGCCATTCTCTTTTGGCCCCTCGTTATCAAAGGTAGCCTGAGTAACCGACGTCACGATGCGTGTCAGTTGTCATTGCCTCGTACAGCCTCTTACATTTATAACTACTCAGTAGCATCCTGTTTCTTGGCTTCATTCGGCTAACATCATTGGCGGAAACATGACGTTTATGGTTTTCGACGGATAAATAGTCTCAGTTCAACTTACAATTAAACAGCGACACGGCAACGTTCGCAATGTTTACATTCCCACAGTGCATCCGTGAAATGTGGCGTGACAAGAAGTAGTAGTTTATTTCGGTAATTCAGGCCACAGGCCCATTTTACAGTGAATGTATTAACAAAGATGTTGATGCTGCACCACCAGTGCATGTAGCAATGTTTGAGTTCAACAAGTTATATCTGGTACAATAGACATGTGAATATAAAATATATAGGTTATGTAATGGACAATTGCTTGCTCCTCATTTTAAGAGCAAAGAAAGTTAACGTGGCAAGGTTATTAAGCATGGAAGTATTTTTGGTGGTAAATAAAAGTTAACATTTACACTATGAAGGTAATTTGTAGTAATAACTTGGCAGGAAATTCCATCTAAGCTCATTATAGAATGGACACACTAGACAGACATGGTATTCTGTTTCTACATTTGGGATGATGCAAAATGGACACAGTCTTTCACTTTTAGGTATGCCTAATTGTCTACCCTGTGGTATCATAAGATCACTACTGGATGTACGAAATTGTGAAAGAGTAATCCTAAATGCATTAATTTGACGTGACTAGTCAGGTTCATCTGGATGTACTAATCTAAACTTACGTTGGTTGTAGAAATGCGACGTTCATATTGCCCCATTTGGTCTACGTTAATCACAGATGTAATTATAAAATAATTTAAGAAGATATTTAATTCAAAGTAAACCGTCATCAAACTGTTTTTCCGTGCGTCTGTGTGTCTGTGTGTCTTAACGTAGGTGGCAGACACGTCAATAAAACAGCGCGTCAGTGAGCGAGGATTGTGATTTAGGTCACCGACACCGTCGTTTTTCTGTTTGTTTTCTGCCTTTGATTAACCGTAATTAACCTTAGAAAGAATTAAATTTGGCATCTTAGAAAAGAAATACAGTTCGCTCTACCACCATGTATAGTGTAATATTAAGTACTCTGTTGCCCTGAACTATTATAACGTAAAGCGTGTAACTTAATTGACGTAGTAAAAGTTGTAGAATTAATGAATTCACGTGTTTGTAATGAATGAGAAAGTAGTCCCGTCATACCTGAGAGGTCATCGGTTATCCAATCAAATCGTTATGATCTTAGGTCACGTCGTTTCGTTACGGCATAGGTCAACGCGATACGACACTCGTGTGACGTACGAGATTAGTATGTAATAACCCATACGTTGACCACGTGTGTAATAATAGAACTGCTTCCAAAATTCGTTTATTTGCTCTCCTATTTTCTAAAATATGTGTACCAAAACGCGTATACACGCAAGCATCCCTAGATACAAAAAACAACAAATTGTCAGAGATTTTTAGCATAGGAATATAACTGTTTGAAACAACAACTTTAACAATAAGGGGTAAAAGGCTTTAATCACCTTTGAATGAAACAATACCCAGTCCTTATTTATTGGGTCGTTATAAATATCGAATAAATGCTGCTTGTCATATATATTTCTTCAACTTTGTTCAGGAAAGCGATGTGAAAACATCACCAACCAATGTGCAGTGGCACCATGTCTGAACGGAGGAACATGTGGCGGAAACGAAACAGCCTTCAACTGCGCATGCTCAGTAGAGTGGACTGGAGAGACCTGCGCAGAGAAGGTTAATTTCTGTGACAGCGCCCCCTGTAAGAGAGGGAACTGTACTTCGGACCTCCTGACGGCAACTGGGTTCAAGTGTAACTGTGGTTTTGGATGGGTAGGAGAAAGATGCAGTCTCCATGTTGGTAAGGTCATTTTTTGTCTTATAATTTGCATATATTTATTTAGTTTTTTTTCTCTTTGAACTGTAGAAGTATGATTGTAGATGTTGAAGACCAAATTTTGGGTCTATAAATTATATTCAGATCTTCAGGCTAAGTTTCACATTCATACAAAAACAAAAGTGAACATATTTGGCACAGAATTAATATAGATATAGGAGGCTCACACTACAAAGTTAGAGCACTTAGGAAAGTTCAGTATTTGTGACACTTCAATGACCTGACTGAAGGAGATCCATATGGACGGAGTTTGACTATAGGCAACCAAAGGCGGTCATTTCATGTCAAGGTCATTACTAGTGGCAATATTATACGAGTGCCTCCATCACTTTGCGCCTTATTTTTATCAGAAATGAAGTAACGATATATAGAAAAAGAGTTGGGCAGTATGTCTTGCCAGTGAATTATTTGTATTCAATTTGTTTGACACAATTGTTGCTGAGAATCTCCTTAACCGATTCAGATCTATGTCACAGTAGTTCGTGTTAGTTATGCTTCTGTCTGAACCAACATGGAAATGGGCACAGGAAAGATTTCATTGTGATCGCATTTTTGGATTACAGATTTACTTATTTCGTCATTATGAATTACATAGTCATAATTTTCAACACATGTCAATAGACAAATTGTGACTCCATTCTAAAGAATTATTTATTCATGCTTGAGTTGTCAATTTAGGATTTGCTTTTCATATTTCACATAAAACATGTTTGTCCTCAGATATTGTCAATATGGCGCTCCTGGGTGAGATTGATCATACAAATAGAGGTGACCTGGCTGATGGCTTGAAGAGAGTCATCACCGAACTCGGGGGAATTCCAGGAAAGGTGGATGTCAAGTTTACAACAAACACACAGAAAGAAAACAAGTAAGTCACAAGCAGAATGTACAACAGTTACGGGTCTACAATTATTTGAGTGTCCCGTCATGCAATTAATGTCACTAAATGTAACTAAATTTGTGTTTGAATATGTGTTTCAGTTTTACTACAACTTACGTACAATTCTACTCTGCTGTGGAGAATGGCTCCTTTATAGAAAGTTCTTTATTGGATGAGATCTTCAAATCCAACCCTGACGTAGTCATCAATGGATATCTGCCTCTTCCGTTGTACCCTCCCACTAACACGAAGGTGACGCCCACGATGCCAAGAGTTGTGGTTACTGATGTCGTATAAATGTTTATGATGCCGCGAGTCCCAGTATTTAGTACCTGTTATGTAATCCCCTCCCTTGGAACGTTCGCTGGAATGTTAGTTATGTAACTATTGCTGCGACATGACCGCAGTCTGTAAATGTTGTGTCTGGATCAGACAATCCATTAACTTACGTTCCCTTTTTGGGGACAAGTAAAGCTTGCTTCGAACTATTTTATCATCCGAATGTATGTAACTGGGTAATTAATGCGTAATGTAACCTTTGGAACCACAATGCAATCTTCTTTCAGAGTCCACATGGCAGCTGGGACACAAACCAATATGTGTCGGCCATTCTACCTCCTGTAGGACTTGTCCTGATTCCTGTACTGCTTCTGGTGGCTTTCTGCATCTGGGAGAAGAAAATCGTAAGTGGTACATGACATACTTTGGTGAACATACTCTGTTGTACCATGTGATATGTCAAGGACGATGTAAGTCTGAAGAACGTGGCTTTATAATCAGAACCTTCGATGTATATGTCAACGCGTGGATATGCGTCGACTTGGGAATGAGCTCATGTTTAAGATGAAGTGTACGTATAATACGTTGACAAGACGAAGGAATGCGTTGAGCTCAAACTTCTTTAGTTACATGACAAACAAATACACAAGACGTAAATGAGGTGAGCGGAGTTTGTGATCAATATACAGTTTTTGACAACAATGAACAGATAGAAAAACAATAGCACTTCCTTGACCAGTTGATGTGATGGCAGGGACGGTCAAGGGAGATTACCAATTAAGGTTAGGAATGTCTTATACAATAAGTAATGGGCTTACAAGTCAATGTACAATGCGGTAGTTATACAAAAATGTACAGTAGTGATTAAGAATACAGGTTAGCATCATATATATATTACAATAAAGTCTCACATGTCTTGACAACATAGTTTTGGACTTTTGAAATATTTGGACGATGGCTGTCCTGAATTAGTCACTATAACATATATTTAGGTTTGTCATACAAATTTGAACTAACTTCTAGATGTCCTAAATGTTGTTTTTCTGAATAAAATGTTTGGTTCCTTTTAAAACATAGTTACATGTATGTCTCAAAGCATCATCTAAAACAATATGCCCGTCGTCTACACATTAAAGAGGATCAATGTAACACGCTAAATTTCATACACCTATCCATGTTGGAAATATACATTGGAGTCACGTGTAACCACGGACTGTCTGGAAGTTTTTCGTTAAAAGGACAAATAAGACTTATCGTAATCTTTTATTTGCATTTTTATATCACGCGTAGTGTTAACAACTCTTATGTTTTCTTTCAAGGGAAAGGTCGGAAGAGGTCACAGATGACAACGACCAAATCGACCTGTTTGTGATCAATGTCCCCTGCGACAGCGACCTAAATAGAGCCGGTTCCGTCAAAAATTTTCGTAAGGATGCAAGCTTATGTCCAGAGGTTGACACTAGTCTTGACTTTGATGAAGCACAAGTGGTAACACTCGATACAGTCTGTAATGAGATATCAAACACTCAATCAACGGCTGAAGATGTGACCCGTGACCCACTGAGTATTCACGCAAGTGTTAGTGACGTAGCAACACCCGGTACTCGCCGCCATGTTACATCAGTCATACACCCAGACACTGAAGATTTGACACTTGGCCTAGTACGTCGGCAGGGTGCCAGCGTGTCTCTGGATGACGACGGACGTCATGGTGACGTAACAACACTCAACACTCGCCGTCATGTTGCATCACACATCGAACCAGTCACTGGAGATATGACACTTGACCCGGAAGGTCCACCGAGTTTCATTGTGTCTCCGGATGACCACGCACCTCTTGGTGACTTCGGAACACCCGATACTCCCCGTCATGTCACGTCATATACGCCTCTTCGCTCGCTTCCATGTACCTCTGGAGGTGGTCTGCCTCAGACTAGCAGCTATGAACCGCTCAATCGTTGTGAGGAAGAGGGTGCAGCGTGTGCTGTCGTCGATGACAACAACGTTGAGGGCGCCTCAGAGGAAAACCCCTATGTTGATCTTGTTGTAAGGAAAAGATAGAGTCATAGCAGCTCTGGACAATGGATTGGTCAACACTAAATAAGTACGAAAGCAAACTGATGTCCAGGACGGCGCCTCGGATTTTTTTCCGCGAACAACTCATGATATACTTGATTTTAATAATGCTTATAATGTTGACTATTTCAAGGCTTGTCACTGTATTAGTTCAATCCCAATGTAATCTGTCTCGGTGGATAATTTAGACTAGTTACTCTCTGGAGTTGACGTGTTACTGATTGGTAGCTCTTTGGTTAAAGTGTTGGCTTGATGCAGGCTGGCCAGGTTTTATTTCCCATGATGAGCTCACTTTCTGCAGGATACGTGTGCGTGTGATCTGCTGTAGGCGGGATACCAATGGGTTTAGTGTAGGACTATGATCAACACATGTTCTGAACACCAGTGTTTCATTGGTCGATGGAGTAGCCTTTTTCAACAGCATTAAATCGTTATGCCATAAGAGCAAGAAAACCCACGTGCTAAGAATGGAACATTGCTAAACAAAACGTAAAGCCCAACTTGTGACAATCTTAATTAGCCATTACTACAGAACTTCCGATTGAGTGGTGTTTTCTTTTTATTTGTACGGATCTATGTGGATATCTATACCAACTGTAAATAAGTATATTGATGTATATATCGTATCAGCTACATGCAGTGTCAGTATAAATATATAGTCTAGCGTCCAATGCCCAGTTTGCAAATAAAATGATCTTCAGGCTTTTTCACTGTCAAGTTATTCATGAGACGTCCGTCGCTCCAATTGTCAACGTTGGAAGAAACGCTCGTCATGGAACGGAGTGTACATTCAACGATCCCTGGCGAAAATAACCGAAAATATTTATACTTCCTCGAATTAAGAATTATTTTCAAGGTGTCTCCAGAAATATATGAGGAGACATTGGTCATATATACACGTCCTGTAAATGATTATAAATGATGTTCATTTTATTTCCTGAAGAATGGTGACCTTTCTCAACAATATCCATATCCCTTGAAGTACTGCAATATTCTTGAAAATTGTCGAAATCTCGCATTTATGAACATCAGTTACGAAAGTTCAACTACGACACAAAATGTACCTGATCATGGAACCTGACAAAGGAACAGGAGGTATAGAGCTGTTGGCTATACCTGGTCCACTATCGGATTTTTTACTGTTTGAATTGAGTTTATGTGTACTTTTGGGAAACTTGTGTGTTTTACTATTTTCGTTTATCTTTAGATGTGTCCAAAACATTGAGTTAATGTATGAAAAAATGAAAGTATAGTTATAAAATATTGAACTGTACCACATTTATTGCATACATTATGCCAATTCGCCATAATGATAATATATTTCGACATTGCAAGGTCTCACTATGAACGCTTGTCATACTGGATTTGATGGCGTTGTACAACTTTCTTATATTCGTACAGCCAAGATGAAATACAGAATATTTATAAGGGGAGCACACACTACAACGATAGCTATAACACGATCCCCTTTGGTAGCAGCATTCAAGGAACATCAAATCCTTTCATCATACACATGCCCAAAGTAGTACCGGTAGGATTGTTACATAAATCTCAACACAGTCGGTTAATATGAATAGTCGGCCAAGCCACATGCACGAAAACCACACTGTCTTGTGAATGGCATAGGTGAGGCTCAATGTGTCATCGATGATAACTTATGGCATCAATTTCTGGTTCGTCTCATCCTTCAGAGTGTGTTTCTTTTTCTTCGCTCCAGTCTTCAATAAAGATAACGGTGCAAGTGTACAATGATGATATCTCCAATGATGACCACATTAACACACTTTTTATGCTGATAACCATCCATCGCTGCTACAGAACCGACAGAACATTATGCTAATTTGACTGATTGAGAATGCAGATCAAAGGTGAATTACCTATATCTACGTTCAATCCACGCTTGTATCTGTGACAAACACTAGGATGCTGCACCGGTACAACAATACAATGCACATGCTGAAATTATATAATTTATCCGTCAATGTGTTCTCCACAATCGATTACGATAAAAGTAAAACTATTTCGTGTTTGTGATGATGCTTCCATCAAAACCAAAATGAAACTGGACACATGTAGGATTTCATAGCAATTGTTGATGCCATTTCTGCTGAAATGTTTGCTATGTTTTCTTTGTTGTATTGACCATTTGGTCATTATGAATTATCGAACACATTTCAACGCTCAACTTGAACTTTGACGTCATGTTTACTTTGTTCTTATATTCATGCTTTGAGTATCGAAACTCTTTATAGGCGTTTTTAATATCTCACTCCCGGGTGAGATTGATCACAGAAATGGAGGCAACCTGACCGATGGCTTGAACAGACTGATCACCAATATCGGGGGAATTCCAGGAAATGTGGATGTCAAGATCACACAACAAACACATGGAATGAAGGCCTGTCAACACCCGTTCAAATATATACAGAATAATGTCTTTTAGCGGCATTTAGAAGCTGTTATAATTGACCACGATATTTTATGGATTTAAGCTTCTTTGTGTGGGAAAGAATAAAGAAGCTTAAATCCATAAAATATCGTGCTCATATACAGAATAGTTATAAACATGTCAGTATGTGACCTGGTTGCATGCATGTCATAGTTTTGCTGGAATATTTGCTAAAAGCGGCGTAAAACCCAACTCACTCACTCACCAAATTCGGTTACTGTCGAAAGAGAGAGACTCGTTTCCTCAGAAAATATGACATTTGTCGAACGTCGGTGATCACCACGCACGCCTCTGATTCAAATTACGTGCTGTAAGTTGGGGTACGTGGGCATCATGCGCGCTAAGGCCATCTTTGGAGACGATTTCGCACCATCCGGGCATGTACTCTTACACCATTTGCCTGTTGCAACCGGTCCCTAATATGAGCGGCAGTTTGCAACCGATTTCTTATTGCCATCGTTCTGCCTAATGTGTGCTCGGCTGGAGCTGTACGTTGCTCTTGGGCGTTCAGATCGGAGTTAGTGACGTCATTATGATCATGCTCTGTTGGTGTCGTATCCAGAATCTGCTGATGACAGATTGAGAAACATGCGGTATTTGGGCAACAAAGTGTCCATACCTACAACATACCAATGGCAAACACACGTTCAGCACGTTCCAAATGCCGCACACAATACTGTTAGTTTCTCACTGATTACACGCGTTTCATAAACAACCCAGTGCGTTCGGGTGCAGACCGAGGTTACGTGACTATTGGGAGAGAGTGTTCTTCCCTCAAATATCACTCACTTTCACTACCAGACATTGACGTATGTTCTTGAACTTACACCTAAAAACGTATAACCCCTACTTTTTCTCATCTAACTCATGAATCCACACACAAAAATATTTTACTTCCGTATCCATGACCCTGGTGGAGCGATGAATACAGCTCCAACACTCAGTGTTGTATAAATTATACAAATATTTGTAAAACAGCATTGACTAACGTCGCATTTCTGCGTATTTCCGCAATACAGCAAATTAGAAACAAAAATTGAAACCCGTTAATATCACTGTGTGTCACTGGAGTTAAAAGGCAGTTACGAACACTGGATAAACCTGTGGGTTGTATAATGTGTTCGATATCCGATCTGTATCCAGTACCATCGGTACACGTGTAAGGGATACCACCATTTAAGATGAAGACAAGAGGAATACACGTGGCTTTACTTCTCTGGCTGTTGATTATCAAGGTAGGTATATATTTCATCTCCCGAAGTCGTCTAGTTAGCATGAGAGTATACATGCTAGTTAGAGGACACAAGTACATTCTCCATATATCGTACAGGGATTTTTACTTCTTAAGAGAAATATACTTATACGCACAGTCTTTTCAATAGTCTGCATGAGCTTTTGTTGATCCAATCTCTAATCTCTTACTCGTTAGAGGACACAAGTACATTCTCCATATATCATACTGAGATGATTTACTTCTCAGGATTCCCGTGAAGATCGGGGTTAGAATTGAACTTTAGTAACCCATGCTTGTCGTAAGAGGCGACTAACGGGATCGGGTGGTCAGCCTCGCTATCTTGGTTGACACATGTCATCGGTTCCCATTTGCGTAGATCATGCTGTTGATCACTGTATTGTCTGGTCCAGACTCGATTATTTACAGACCGCCGCCATATAGCTGGAATATTGCTGAGTGCTTCGTTACACTAAACTAAATCATTCACTACTTCTCAAGATATATCTACTTATATGCGTAGTCTTTACAATAGTGTGCATGAGTTCATATTTTTCTTTTTGTTTATCCAATCTCTTGATCGAATAAATACCAAAGCACTGGAGGTAACTCAGACGTCAATGTAATGTACACATTATTTACGTAAGTGAAGCTTCCTTAGTTTTTAAGCTTTGCAATGAAGGCACATAGACGCATGTCAGTCTATATTATCAATATCAGACATGTCCAGTTATGTGCCTAAGTTTAAAGTGAACTAATAGTCAATATACTGAGTATACTGATCCTCATCATGAATAATCACTCGAGGCGTTATCAACAATTTGTATTCTATACCTTAACACATTAGCGAAAGCAGAATACTCAATGCCATTCTCAGTGGATGTATGACAACGGCTGGTGGGAAATATGGTGGGCAGGGTTATACCCTTAGCGGTTTAATAGTTAGCACATATCTTGATGTGCGAGGAATGCTTGAATTGATACAGATGTTGTGTGAACTCATTGACCGTATCTTCATCTGTATTTAAACAACAACCACAAGATACTTCTTGCCCCTTTCACAGAAGGCGTACCAGAGACGCGCTCTACAAATTTATTATGCATATGTAGAAAGTGAATAAAACTGACAGGAAATGCAAACACAAGAAGTGGTATCAGAAACCGGAATATAAATCATGTATGACCTAGCTCGACGTTCGTTCACCATAGTTACGCGGGACAGACTCTATATTCTTTATAGAATGAGCATACCCTTGACAGAAATACATCCCTACACAGGACCAAAGCCGGATAGTAAACCATTGAAAAAAACGTAAATACAGTAGGAAATACATGCCATGACCGGATTTACGTATGTTTTCAGATATTTCCTAACTTCGGGCATATATTTCATATGAATCTATACCTTTGAAACATATGCTCATCGTACATTTTCGTATGCACAAACACCTCGTTCATGTATGCCCTGACCGGATTGTCAGGGATTTCCAAACATGAATTGCAAAACAGATACCCCGGTAAATACATGATCATACAGTATTTCCAGTGCATTCCTTTGAATTTCAATGGGTGCTGAAATTTCCGATTTCGTTCTAAGTTTCCTCGGGTTGGAAACATGTGAATTTACTTAGGTGGGGAAACACATGTAAATTTTCAACAAAAAAATCAAATATTTACACACCTTAGATATTTATGTATCATACCGGATTTCATGGGTATGTATATGAACGGTTTATACACCTTCATCTTACCTGTACTCAAGCAAGATGATCATATGTTTACATCATGTGAATTACTTGGTTCATGTAAATTCATTTTCACACATTTTAGTACGTTTGAAATCAGCGTTCACATGACCTCAATATTATTATCACCAAAAGAGCCTGACAAAGAAAGCAGTATTACGCAAGTTCACACGCCTTATAAAGCTGCACTCGCTCTTGCTACCAGTATCAGTTACGCCTTGTCTGTGGTGTTGGCAAATCTTGTGAGGTGCATGTTTCGAGGGATTAAAAGGTTCAGTGGTGAACAAAGGGCGATGCGTTGCTCCTTTGTCCTCGCAAGTGTCCCTATCTGTCCCAATAGAATAGCACTTTGTCTCTCTTGGAGCACAGCCAAATATGCTACACGAACCAACTCGTAATTTCCTAAGTCTGTTCAGCTCGCGCATCACTACTGTAAAATATTTTGTGGCTGTACATAATGAGAATATTATTGCACTGCATGTGACCTTCCTTAATAGTCTCACAGTGCCTGAACAATGTTATTTCTCCATTCGCTCAGCCTTTGCTGAAATAGCGCCATACATAAACTTAAAGTTGTCCACATTTGTTTCACTAACGCAAAAGTATACGACAACAAACAATGCCATATCAAATTATATATTCTGTGAGACATGAAATGAAAAATTGTTTTTATCGTGTAGCGATTATGACCGGATAGCACAGGCGGGTGCGTTCTCTGAGTATATCATAGGCATGTTGGATCTCCGTGCCTTTTGTGAAATTCGTCTATATTGTCCTGTTTATATTGACGATCCATAACAGAATGCGAGTAAATATCACGTAAGTAATTGTGATGTCGCATTGCTGTAAATTTCCCTGTCGGAGAAGTCATTCTCACAAGATATATATTCCCTTGTTTGGAGAAGATCTATGGCTATTACGCCCCAGTGTTGCTAAACATCTTGAAGGCCTTTAGTCTGACACAGACGCAGACTTCGCATGTTCAAGTTCAGATCTGACAGGGGCTGAAAATATCACTCCGACATGAACACGATATCTCAGTGTTTTTCTAAGTAAGCGGAGTGCTTTCTACAACATTGGAAATAACTGTATCGTTGTCCTTCTGATATTCCCGGGGCGGTGGGGTAGCCTAGTGGTTAAAGCGTTCGCTCTTCACGCCGATCCCCGCGAAGACCCGGGTTCGAATCCCAACATGGGTACATTGTGTAAAGCTCATTTCTGGTGTCCCCCGCCGTGATATTGCTGGAATATTGCTAAAAGCGGCGTAAAACCAAACTCACTCACTCACTCACTCACTCTGATATTCCCCCGAACGGAAGCTCCACCCATGTAGGGTACAATGTGTAAGTTACAGAATTGTAGGGAATAGTCTCAAGACTTTTCTACTTTGACCACGATTCTTTGAACTTGTAACAGTCTTTGGAGAAGATCAAAAGAGAAAAGGGTAGTGCGCGATGTATCTGACGGACGTATATGGAGAACGTTCGAAGAACTTTATAAATACAATAATAGAAATACCGGTTATGTTTAAAACGTACCCTCAATCTGATAGCCAGAGGGATTATTGTGAAAGATCGCAGTATGTATCATTATAAACGAGCCAAGATAAAAGTACATGTCATTCATCCCCACATTATATCCCTTTTATAGACACGGGACATCGTTGTTACAGGTAGGGCAAACACTTTCTTCTAAAGGTATCTGCCGGTTTCACGCTACATACATGTGTTCAGATTATCGAGAAAACTAGCGACGCAAGTTCTCCTCCATCACACCAGAGACCATATAATCTATCATATGGCCTTTGATCACACATATAATTGTATAGATACCCAGTGTTTATTGATAGCGATGAAGCAACTTATCAAAATTTATGGCCGACAGTATCATCTGCATTACTCTCACAGGGTTGTCATGGTAACGATAATTTGGCATTCTTTTTATTGTGTTATTCTTTAATCTGCGATTAGAATTTAAATCAGTTTTGACGTGAGCATGTTAAGAAAAGACAAGCTGTTAAACGAAATGTATTGTGATCGAACCTATAGGCCTTTGTAATAGCGAGTTTCAGGCCACCTACATATAAAAACCTGTTTTCATGATAAATATCTGCTAATCCTTGGCACGATTCCGACCATATCATGGGAATGTGTTTGTGAATCATAATCAAATAGTGATGTTACAAGGCGTCCATGGCGCGTCAACAGCACATGCAAACAGGGGCGTAGCTACCATTATAAAAAACAGCTCGAGCTTACACATGATCTTTGCTAAAAAAATAATTTTTCTTCTAATTCTTGCCAAAAATACCTACAAACACGTTCCATTTAAAAAGTGGAAATAACTCTATGAATCATACTGACTACAGTATTCTTTGATTAAAGCATTACCATGTACTTTCGGTGATGATTGTTTTTCCATCGACATGTATGAGGATGTTTTGTTACAATCATGATTTATATGTGAATCATCACTGAAATGCAGTTGTTTATTTTTAATTTGTTTATCATTTATTTTTGAAAAAACACCAAATACTCGATGTATGGTATTGTATCAATGCAGCAGACATGTGTAAACTATGTCCAAACATATTTGTATATGAGGAAATCACATTTCAATTTCGACAATATTTTGAAGCTATTGAAATCATCAAACGTCAATCGATAACTCTTCAAGTCTCATAAAAAATGAAAGTTGGGCAAGCCCTCAATACCACCTATAATATAAACCTTTGCAGCCCATAGGGCTTACACGAAAAATATGGCTTGCTACGCGCCTGGCAAACGCACGAGAATTGCAATACGGGCCTCTAACCACTGATTCTCCGTCACCTGGAGACACATGTGACTGAGCGTATGTTTGGACGTCGTCTGTCATACAGACCCTGAAGCAAATATATCCAAGCCCACGCAAGTCTACAAAATGTGGCAAGTCTAGATTTCCACAGCTTCAGGAGAAAGTCTCAGGGCTCCTTTTAATTATATTATATATTGTTTTATACTATGAACTTTTTTCTGTAAAATATGTTCATATCAGAGACTAGTTGTTAATCTAGTTCTGACGGGTAGAAGACAAAAGACAAAATCGATACTAGTGCTGTTACTATTTTTTAATTATATATAAACCTTCGTCCTTGTCTCGGGATGAATGTATATGTTCCACCAAATGTACATTCGGAGGATATCGAAATCTAGGTTAAGCTATTTGAATCATATTTGCAATTAAAACACCCAAACAATGGTTTGTTGTCCAAATTTTT